AAAACTTGCGTGCTGACCTGCAAGGCTATTTTCTAACGGGTCGATATATTCTACTCCGCGCTGTATATCAGGTAAAGAATACCCCGACAGTGGTAGCTGGGGGCCACTGACATGAATTATTACTCCCGACAGGATTCGACAAGCGCGCGCGGGACAAGCACAAATTACTTCCTCGCTTCTTCCATTTCGTACAAATGACGGTGCCGTCTTTCACTATCGCGGGCGCATTGCCTTAATTTTTATTCGGCACGACAGAAAGGGGAATCTTATTTCTTAAAGTAACGTACATACCGCGTGTATAGGAATCGCGAATCCTATTAGCGCAGAGTGCTGCGCAGGTGAATTGCTTGTCTGTCAGTTAAACGTTTGAGAAGAATCCACAATTGTTAACGTGGGAACGATTGAGTTTTAGTTTCGTACATTTTAACGTTTATGAACCGTTTTGCCGCCGTAAAACGTTTAGCGTATTTCTTTTTTTCTGCAAAATGTTCAGCTTTTTTTTTCCACAAAATGTATCGCTTTTGCGTACAAATTTTTGTGTAAAAATATCAGCCCCTGTCGTCGTGTTTTCATATCGCGAGATCGTTGATGACGATAACGACTAATGGAGTGGCATAGAAGGGCGATGTTTTACATCAAATACAGAACCGTTTCTCGTTACGCGATCTGTACTCAAAAATCGTTCGTAGATTTAATGTAAAAAATTGCGGCGCGTTATACAGCGTCATACACGCGGGAAATTTCACATAACATGTGTGCTCGCGACAGAAGGAAAAATAAAACTGAAGTTTTTATTTCGAGTTTTATCGACAGATTTAATCTCCTCGTGCGCGCAGACAATGAGGCGGATTATGTGTTTTTTTTTCTTCTCCCCCACGGTCACAATTCGAATTTAATTGAATTTTTCCCGCGGGTGTTGGAGATTAATCGGTGGATCATTTGCCGGTTCGCTCCTCGGGTTCATTCCGCCGGATATCCGCTTGACATTGATACATAGCGTCGCGATAAAAATTTTCGTACACGTTACATTCGAATCGATCGCGTTGAGATTTATATACGTGTGATCGTAGCGGTTTTTTTGCAAAGTATTTTCGTAATCGGATACACGCGGATCGGATAAACAAACGCCGTGTACCTGATACATGCCGAATGCGAATGAAAGCTTAATCTCATCCCGTAATCTTAATTACGTTAATTACAGCGGTGCGCGATATCTTTTGAGTAATACGGAAGATTAAATAAAGCCACAAATTTAATTACTTTATAAAAAAGTATGAAATATCGTCCGATAAATCAGTGAGGTAATTTTTACAAGCGAAACCCTTCCTTTTTTTTCGGGAAATACCGGTTTATATGTTTTTCCTATGACATTCTCGCGTTTGATTATTTAGTATATCGTGAATTTATACATATATAAAGTGTCTATGTGTTTGTTATTACATACCTATACCTATGTTGAGATTTTTTCTAAGTTCAGATCTTCTCACAAATGAGACACAATTTACTTCAATGCCGGATCGCTGATATTCTCGCTTCTATGCTGATCCATTGGAACTTCCTTCATCTTCTTGCGCATTGATCCGTAACTGTTCGAAATGTATCAGGTTCTATATTTCGTAGCGACAGGATCGTAACGCATAACTCGCTTCCTGTTTGTGTCGTAAATTTGCTGATATTCATCGATAGGAAATGAACCTTTCGCGCCTAACTAATAGTTAGCTTGTTTTTCTCGCAAATTGCTTTTTTAACCAACGTAATATATCTGTCGATTATCCTTGCAAGAAGAAAATAGAAATAGTAAATTACGTTACGTACAAAATGCTGCAAATCAAGCGTATTTTCTTGAAATTTACTATATCTTTATCATTACGATAGTTAACACATGAATGATTTTGATTAATGAATCAGCTCTGATAGAATATAATTATTAATGAACTTATTTATAAAAAATGCATAGATATTTATAAAAAATGCATATAGAATGAAATATTTGAGTATTTGGCTATACATTGATAGATAAATATGTTATTTTAAATAATTTATGTGGCAATAACAAGAACAATTTTAATTTTTTTTCCTAATTCCTTTTTGGGGAGAAAAATAAGATTTTATCACATATTGCGTCTCACGCTTCTTATTGCACGTCTCAAAGTGACGGGTATTTGCGAGTATTATATGTCTCGGATGATTTATATAGGTATTTATTGCACGAGAGCTTATGGAAGAGAGTTTTTCGGTGTCGTGAAAATTTTTTAAATAGGAATTTGTCTCCTGAGCGTCCGAGAACGGACCAACTTATTCCGTTTGCGGACGGGCGGTACATTCAGGATTCCGCTTACGGCGTGCATCGTGGAATTTTCTTCATCTCCTGGCATCGATCTTCCATCTACTTGGGAAGTAGAGAACACCGGCTGCATGCAGTGTTCAATATAAATTGGTGTGGATTTATAGTCATGCCGTCCTACGTGTAGTATATTAACCTCCTTCTTTTAACCCGTTCTGCCCATAGATTACGTTAGATAAGGAAATCGATATTTTTTATATTTATTTTGCGACAGTAGAATTTTATGTGTGATACTGCAAAAACATTAATCATTGATAAACTATTGATAATGTACGATCTCTGTGATTTCAAAATATTTATATACAAAGTTTTGTTTTATTATATGCTCCTCTATCGTTTCAGATGATAAGTTCAGTTTATAAGTTTCTCTTTTTTAATTTAGTTCAATTTATATTTGATTCTTAATCTTATTTAATTATTTAATTTATTGTTAATGGAAAAACGATATGATTTATTATACATACACATATATATTCTGAGTTACACGCTGTTATTCCGTGCCATATGCATCTCTAATCGAAGTTCCTCCATACATCCGGGGGCCAATCTCAGAAATTGTATTCCAACCTCTCTGCTCTTCAATATATGTCTGGGAAGGTCAATATCTTGGGACGAATTCCATTGATTTAGCCATCGAGGCCATGAAACCGTTCAGGAATTCCGATTAGTTCTACGTTAATCACACGTGGAGAGAGAACCGAGAAGTAATTAACTTCGATTATTAAATTAGTGCAGGATCCAATCTAATGGAATATAATTATTAATAAGAAAATTGATTCTAATGTAATGCCGAATTTAAATGTCAAAACTGTGATTAAATTATTGCCTTTACTAAATTTACTTCAAGAAAAAGAATTGCTCGATTTATTCAATTTTATTATACTTGAAATATTTTGATATTACATACTTATTTGTATACGTATACATAGAATGTTATTCTTATTTCTTTTTCATAAATTCCAAATATTTATTTCATGTAAATATGCAAGATTGCAAGAAATAATTCGAACAAAAGAAATATATACATCTGCATACATTCTGATATTTTCGAATATCATTCGAATATACACGGAAAGAATGATTTTGTTGAAAGGTCTAAAAATTTTGCTAAAAACAGATCTGAAAATAATTATTGAATCAAAATAATTTGTTGGAATGTTAAAACTGATAAGTATTGCTATAAAAGTTTTGATATTCTACAGCAATCATTTTGACTTTCGCACAAAATAATTTTGATTACTGAACAAAAATTATTTTCAGATTTGGATTCAGCAAAATTGTTCTTTCTGTGTGTTTTAGCAGTTTATTTGTTTTTATCTTTTTTACGATTTCCATATAATTAGTAATATCTTTTTTTTTTTAAACTATATAAAGCGCAATATATCGTAATACGAAATAAACGACATGTCAAGGAGACTCATAAACAGAGAGAAAACAAATTGTAGCACATGGTTAACATTACAGGAGCGCAATTGCAACATGCACAATGTTAACGTACTCCGAAATACATAATGTCGTGCGCGTTTCGAAATTTGAGAAAACCGCAACAGGTGTAATCTCATTAGCGTCCTTCGAAAAACGACCGGTGTCCCTGGATTGGCAGCTGCCACGGCTGAGAAGCGGGAACCGCAAAACCGACAGCATCTCGCACGGTACAGGGAAGTACCCTTCCTCGATTTTCAGTCCTCCGTGCCTCGACCCTGGCAGCGTATTCACTTCTATGTATTCGCTCGCGCGTTCACACCTGACTTGCTCTTAACTCGATACGACCGTATTTAATTACGTACAAGTGACACGCATCGCGTCAACGTGCGCGCAAAGTGACTCATTATTATATTGTGCGCTTCTCAAAGCGCGCGCGTCGGCTCTTAAACCGCCGCGGCGCTAGTTCGGAGCTGCATTTAAGACCGGTTTTGCCACTGTGCAAACTTTCCGCCGCGCTTTGCGAAATTCTGCGAAACTCTAACCTAACCACCAATACGAGCGCACCGAACGTTCGGACCTCTTTGAAGGGATTATTTGATAGTCGGCTGCGGTATGTGTAACAAAGCAATCGTCGAGTGTACGGAGCTCACGTAATCCCGTGTCGCGATTAAATAAATTGTACAACAAGTTTTGACATTTATCTCTTTTTCGGTCAAAATAATTTTAATTACGAGATAATCAAATTTTGACATATTTTTCAGAGAAGGATGCTATATATTTTAATATTTAATATACATCCTAATCGCATTTCCGTAAAAAAAATGAAAGGATAACTTTATTTATTATTTATTTATGATTAAGCATAATTTTGAATGACCTCATGTATATGTCGACTTATAACAGATATTAATAGTCTGATTATCAGCTTACAAGTCGACTGGCTAATTCCATGTACACATTCATATATATGTATAAGCATATTGCATATTGTTCAATGAATCTGAATGCTCACTGCACGTGCTTAATGAGATTGATTAATATTCAATTATGTAAAGAGCTTTTCTGATATGTAGACTTTAATCCCTATGAATCAGAATTGCTACCATCAGAGTTGCTACGTTTGGTGGAATATAATATATTTTACGATTTCATCATTCTTATATAATTTACTTTATTTTTAATTGTTAGCTCGTTTATATTTATATAGCTAACCAGGTGATTTTAATTGCAGGTACCGGAAGAATTTTGCATCTCCAGTCATCGGAGGAGCATCACATCTAGTGAGTAATTGTTATTGTTATTTCTGAAATATTTTTGTTTGAAATGTAATCCGCGTCATGAGCATACGTATTTATGTAATAATATGAAGAATTTAAAAATGAGATTCTTTTTGTCTTTTGGTTATATAAATATAAAGGACTGCATTTATCCTCAAAATTGTCGAACGACGCGCGACGTATATTGATTGAATACAAATTTATGATACACGCATAAAATATTGATAAATACTACCAAATGGTAAAAGTTTTTTTCTACGACAATCTAGTATCTATTATTGAAACATCAAAAACGACAGTGTTATATAAAAATGTAAAGCAGTTTACGAGAATAACAGTTTACCATCGTGTCACACTTTCCTTGTAAATCGCGCGGCACGAGCTAGACTTAAAAAAGTTAGATGTAAGAACCGGAAAAAGCTTCTTGAACTTCGTGATCTCGTGAAAGTTTGTGAGGTGGAGGTGCCTGTGGCGTTAATAACCTCATGCATCATCTGCGGGCGAAAAATTCTCCATTGGCCGCTGACGCAGCAACAAAAAATTTAATGTAGCGGTTTAACTGCCGTCAGAAGGGAAAACAGACAGAGAGACAGAGAGAGGGGAGAGAGAGAGAGAGAGAGAGAGAGAGAAATTGTATTCATATAGAAATTGTATAATATGACATGCAGCCAATAATTAAAAAGTATTACTACGAAATTTATACGGAATGAATACAAAAATTTTTCGTTTTGTAGTCTCGCTACATTAACAATCGTTTGTAGTCTGCTGTATTAACCTTTTATTGGTTTATATATTAATTTATTAAAAGAAATTAAGTGCGTTTATATTTATTTCGTGAAACACAATAGTTTGATGAGCTCAACATACGTACACCGTGTATCATTCCGCGTTAGCTCGCAATATTTCGACATTATTGTATTTTACATCACGTACAACCGGATCCCGTCTGCATTCAGTCTACTGGATTATGAAATTATGAGAAACTGTGTTTCCGACTGGTGCGCGTCAAAGGCAAACTGATGACGCACTCTGGTATTTTGCCAAAACGATAAAGGCAAAATGCAAAGCGAAAGCGAGGAAAGAGATAAATCTAAAAAAGGAAATAAAGGAGGCGAATCCGAAAAAGGAAAAAGAAAATATACGCGATACCGCGAGCACACGCGAAATAAATGGCAGCCGCGCGATCGACACCTACGGCTTTTTAAATAAACATCGGATTATCTCTTTCGGCAAATTTAGGGAATCGAAAGTGGAGATTGGTTGCTCAGTCATTAATTGACGTGCTCTTTGGCTGTTCCACATTTATTCGTCTAAATACATAAATGCGGTGAGTGTTTGAAGCTCGATGTTTGCGATTGCGATCTGAACGTTCTAATGGAAAAAGATTTTTAATTAAAAAGTATCATATACTTTGTCAGTTAAAATCAGCCCCCCCCCTCTCTCTCTCTCTCTCTCTCTCTCACTGTCTCTTCTTTTCTGTTTTTAATTAAGATAAAATGTTATTTTTACTAAAATAGAGAAAAGATTTTCATATTGTATATTGCAATTGGAAATGTATCTTTATAAATGAAACAATATCAAGAATTTACAACTAGAAATTCTAGATTATATCGTAAATCTTCCATTTTTGAGTTTTTGAAAATACTTCAGGATTGTAAAATGCTATAAGAAAAAAGAGTTTATTATATTTTTATTACAAAGGTTAGCATCTTATTATAGAGAAAGATTGAAGTATAAATTTCAAACTAAATTGTTAAAGTTTATAAATCTGCACACTGTTATGTTTATTTTTTTCTATGTTTGTTTGGACACGCGATAATTTCACTTCTGTGTATTGCACTCTGAAAGATATCTGATAGCAGTCGCAAGCATTGTTTTACAAGGCAATATCGTATTTTTGCTCGTGTCAGCGGAAAAGGATAAAAAAAAGATACTGAAAAAGAGATTTTAGTGCTCTATTGCGCATGCAGAATGTCAGTACGGCGCGCCGGGTCGGTTTGACGATATGAGATCGCATAGCCTACAGCTAATGTCATCGGAGAGCTATCCGCCAGCCTTTATCCGGTCCATCCGTAATTAAATTCCGACGATCGAACTAACTGAGAGCCACGCGTGATTGCACGCACTTTGCCCACGTGACATTAAGGAATTTTGTCTCTTTTGTAAAACTGCTGGTGACATTCGAGCTTACAATCTTTCAGCTTTTGAAATTCGTTATCAGAATCTGGATAGAGCGAGTTTCTGAAGATTACATTCAAATTAGATGTAGAAATGATAAGACAAGTCATGGAATTCAGTGAAAGTTAACTCTTCTTCTTCCGAATATTCATTTGTTAATATTATCAAAGCAGTTACCAAGTTTTTGAAATTCATTATCGGAATATGGAAGGAATGACTTTGTGAAATTGGGTTCAAATTAGGTATAGAATAATAAAATGAGTCATGCAGAGTTATTAAATAGAAATTAACGTTTTAATAGTGCATTTATATTTATTTATTAACATGAAAATATAAATATTTTCCACGAATTTTTTATTTTTTCTGATGATGATATTTTTATTATTTGCTTTTATTTAGCGAACGTATACTTTTCATCATCAGATTTCATATAGAATCATAAATCACGTTATTGCAGCTCGTAAAAATTGTTTCTTTTATCAATTATTTAATGGTCGGTGGTCGTATTTCCACCGACGTCTCGGAACTTACTATTTTCTAAAGCCATAATTTTCCACCAGGACAGCACGTGCGACAAACGAGCAGCGCATATTCCGCTGGTCGTAGGTTCGTAATTTACGGGCAACCCGTCAGCCATAGGTCATTAAATTTTGTCTGGCGCATTCTGCAGCGAAATAAGAACTGAAAGAAACTTCAAAGATTATGTTCTAATTAAAAAGTTTACAGTTATTATAAGTTTATTGTAGCTTATTTCTTTCAATCTTCTTTTTTTTTTTATTAAAAAAAGAAAGAAACGTAATAAAATATGTTGAGTTGAAGGTTGCGAGAACGAGAATGTTCTGTCGATAACTATAAATGTACTGATTGAAATAAGAAAATATGTTTTTGAAATTTTACGCATACTTTTTGTCGTCATTATGTATATATTTTTCGTGATTCTAACATGACCCTGTTGACATGCTGTGCAGCCCCTTTTGCACTTTTACGTCTTATTGGCGCGTTCACGTCGCTCGTGCTGGAACTACGTATAATCGGGAAGGAAGCATTAAGTGCCAGCCGCAGACTAATTGAATCCTTCTCATTATCTCACACAAAAGATGCTCCGTGCACCTTCACCGGCTGCTATCGGATATATACAATATGTATATATACATGCGCAATGATTTAAGTACGGCCTCGCGGCTGGCTTTACCCCTTCCCCCCGCTTTGAACACGCTATTACCTACATTACGTTGTTTCTCTTCGTTTTTCTGCCTTTCTTCCGGCACGATCTCGCCGCACGAGCTCTTTAACGCAAATTCGTTTCGCTAGCAACAAGTTTATTATGGTTCTACCAAAATCCCCCAACGAAGAAAACTAATTACACGGAGCGATATGGAGAGGCCTGAGCTCTCGTCGCTCAGGCGATCGCGCGGCAGGCTTTGTCGGTAGACCCTTTAACGCCTCTTCTACATCGCTATACTTTTCTCATTGAGTTTTATCTTGCGTATTTCTTTTTATCTCAATCTCATATCACATATTCGGTTACTTAATGCAAATTGGGACGCCACGATCGCTCTATCAACGCGATCCTTCCTCCGCGTACGCGTTATACGTACAGCGGCGTTTCCGCTTCGTTAATTTTTGTTTATTACTCCATTCCTTCGTATGCGTATCCTTTGTCTTTTCCCCCTTTCGCGATTTTCGTCCATTCTCTTCTCCTCTGTGCGGATCCCCTGTGCCCGTGTAAAAAGGGACAGTTTCTCATTTAACTTGCAAACAGAATTATCCGTGGCGACTCGTGCGCTAATCATGCGTTGGCGAGCCGCGCGAACCGCGCGCACGGCATGCATGCGATTGCAGTTGCGAGGAGGAAAGCTCGGGCGGATAAGATACGAGCTTGGCGTTACGCGATAACCGCTCCTGCTACTCATCTAGCCATTTTCCTGTTTCTCCGTCCTTTCGCTTTTGATGCCCTTCCTCTCCTCTTCTCTTCCCTCCTCTCGTCCCTCTCTTTCTCTCTCTTGTGCACTCGCTTTGTTAATGCATCGTGCTGGGACGACAAAGATACGGCAAATCGTATTTTGCACTGTAAATGAAATGCAATTTAATTTACATCGTCAAATATTTTTAGCAACGATCTGTGCTTCTGTGCTTTGTTGACAAGCTCCGTATTTGCGAACATCTTTCAAAATATTAAAGATTTTTTTTTTTACTGTAATAAATATAGCGTCTCTTTATTAAGTGGATAACATTTGTGATCAGGGCACATATTATAGAACTGTTCGGAATAGATTCCAATCGATATTATTTCGTTTTTACGCTAGAAATCACGATAGAAATCTATTAGAGTATAATTGAATAATTCCGATCAGAATCCATTTTGAACAATTCCATACATACCTACCCAGAGTTCTCTATAGGTATTTGAAAAGATTTCGATAATTATTTTTAAATAGAAGACGATCAATCATTCAACGATCTATGCACCAGCTTGTACATACTTGTAGTTATATACGTATTATGTATTTCATCGTGCCATCGATTTAACAGCTGCATATTTAGACAGTCGCGTGAAAATAGCATCGTGTTTCAAAGCATTATATCAAATGATACATCATAAATGGTTAATAGCTGATATGAATGACATATTGATATGTATATGGATAATTCGGAATATACTAATATAAGGATACTATTGGCTGTAGAATATAAAGCCCATTTTCATAATATATGATTAACGAAAAAGTTAGGTTAACTAAAACTTGAAAATTAATTAAAACACACTTTCATAAGTTTATAATCAAATAAACTAAAGGTTACGTGTACATCAGTTGAGTTGACAT